AGCTTTTCAGTGATATATTAATTTTTTTACACTCTTTTCCAAGCTGTGCAGTCAGCAGGAGTCAGGAGCTGGCGAAGACAGGGTCTCCTGCAAAGGGCAAGTTCCTCACAGATAAACAACATCAGGCATATTCTGCTCTAGAAAGGATTTATCCTGCTTTTTTTTCCCCCAAACCAAAGCTTTGATTTCATTATAAAGCAAAGCAAAACATTTGTTTCCAGTAAACAAAGCATTCTGTAGGCTTCTGAATATTTCATTAGAAAACCTTTCCCCAATTTAGGTAAATTTTTCAAACTATTTTCTTTTTTACCGTAGGATAGGAATTGAAGCTTGAGTTTGAGGCTCCTCCAGGAGACACTAAACCTCTGTGTTTGCCAACACGATAACAACCCTCCACAGATGTTCCAGACAAACATGGACCTGCATAAACACGGGGAAAAAAACCCTGACAATCTCTCTAGATACTGAATTGTACAAGGAAGAAAGCACACAAAATTAATCCAGCTCATGATACTGAAATAAGGAAAATGCCAAGCAGAGTCTCCAACTGCTGATGTGAAGTGTCCCAGAAACTCAGGATTTGGATGAAAACCTGTGTCAGCAGTTTGGGGTGAATCATTATTTTGCAAAATGGGGTGAATCATTATTTTTCAGCAGGACCACCCCTGGGTGCTTTAGCAGTGGCCTGGGATGGGTCTGTGTTAGTGCTGCAGGAAAGCAAACTTCAGTCTGGGGTGAAAAACAGGGATGTTATTGGTAATAGTGAGGAAAATATTAATTGCCTGCATGTCATAAATCTGGCCTGTGACATTCATTCTTTAGCTGAGCCAAGGAAGGAAAATTTTGCAGATGGATTTGAAGAATAATCCAGTTGTTCTTCCCACCCGTGTGGAGTTGTTTGGATGAACATAAAAAACAGGGTTTTTTTGAAATATTGGCTTCCCAACATTGAATTGGGTGAGGGGGAGAAATTCAGAGTTTGAGCAGTTCCTCAGGAACCTGCTCTGGCTGGACCTGCTGCAGCAGCAGACTGGCCTGGGGGGCTTCTGGAGGTCCTGTGAAGACACAAAATGCTATTGGTTTGCTGATGGATGAACAGAAAAAGCCATGTTTTAGTCGTATCATAGAGGGGAAAAAAAAAATCTGAGACTTCAGCAGAGCCTGGAGGCACAAACACAAGGAGATTTACCAGTGAATATAAAGTCAGTATTACATAAATACAAGCTAAAGGCTGAAAAGGCAGATAATGTGGTGGTGTTTCCCACAATATTTAAGTACTCTCATAATCAGGCTTGGGAAGAAAGATGAATAATTCTGTTTAAATCATATTGAGCCAGCATAGGTGGCTCAAGAGCTACACCAGGACTAGAAAGACCAGGAGAGAAGCAAGATGGGCAGAAGGATGGTGTGAGGTTTGGGCAAACCCACCTGATCCACGGTGGCTGAAGGTCAGCCCTGAGGGACCTGCTTTGCTCCAGGGCACAGAGTGTCCCAGCAAATATTTTGGGACTCTTCATTGGTGTTTTCTCCTCAAGGGGAGGAGGAAGATCCTTGACCCTTCCTGCTTTCTGCTTTAAGCATAAACCCCTTATCAAATCCACGCCTAAACAACTTCCAGAGTTGTGTTCAGCTGCTTAAATTTCCCACCTGAGCATCTGGAACAATGGTATCTATTTGTTTCTCCCTCTTCTCGGGGGCAAATCCATAAAGATGGGGCATTTTCCAGTGGAAGCTTTTGACTCCAGGTTGAGTGGAGTCATTAGTCACGTCACACATGCCAAGGCTGGTGGAATTTGGCAGAGCTGCTTAAACTTTAACAAGGCTGAATTAAAAGAACCTTTACCTGAGCTGCACTGCCGGGGACAGAACGATGGTTACAACGTGGATGTTTAATTTATCAAGAGCTGTTGAGTGCTAAGCTTCCTATTAAAATCCCACTCTCAGCCAGGATCAATCCCTACAAATCTGCCAAGAAAGATACAACTTGGATCAAACAATAACATTTTTGCTCAGGCTGCACAGACAGGGCTTGGCTCTGATGTGTTTTCCTGGGTGAATTACAAAAGCAGGATTTGGAGATTCTTCCGTCTCGGGAATTAAATGCTCAGAACCATTGGCTGTCAACTTGAAAAATGTTAGATCTGCATCTCTCCACAATTGTCTTAAGTTTCTTGGCACTGAGCCCAGCTATTAGCAGGGGGTAAATAAGACAAAAATTGACAACAATGTGCATTATAGGGTGAAGCGAGGAAGGATGATGTGAACAGTTAATGGATTTCTTAGAACTGTGGTATTTGATTTGAGCTTACCATGGGTTTGAAGCAGGTTCACCTCAGTTGCTCTCTGGAAATTTGAAAAAAGGAAAAAAGTGTCTTTTTTTCTGTTTGAAATAGTGCAAAAATATGGGGTAGTGTTTATTAACATGACGTGATTTTTGGAGTTGTCCTGTGCAGAGACAGCAGATGGACTCAATGATCCTTGTGTGTCCTTTTCAACTCAGCATTGTCTTTGATACTATGATTGTTAAAAATTTGTTTTAAATGTGCAGTTTGAGTCAGCCAGATTCAATTTGGTTGTTGGGGTGGACCAACACAGTAAAATGAAAATCGCTCGGTGAAATAGGGGTTGAGGATCTGTTATTTCCAAGTTTATTTATGTTTTTCCAAACTCCTCCTTCTGTTTTTATAATATCAGTGGGGTACAAGGTTGTCAGGTCAGACTGGGAGTGATTCTGCCTTTTCAGATAAATGCTTTTTTGCTTTATTTTTTCTGCTGACTTACACGTTTGGACAGTAAGAATCCTCCTCCTCTGTGTGCTGAGCTGTGCTTTCTATCCCACATCATCTTCACTAATGCTGACAAGCCAAAAGAAATGAATGATAATTTTTCCACAGAGCCAACCAGTGAACAGCAGAGTTAAAATATCCAAACTTGTAAAACATCCCATTTCAACAAGTTGGAGCACAAGTTTATTTAGTTGTGTGTGATGAGCACAAATACAAATACCTCGACACAAGCCCCAAGCAGCACAAAAAACCTGAATACACAGGAAAAAGCCTAAATACACATTAAAGCTCAGCTCAGCAAGCTACCTGAGCCTGAGGTTATTGGATGTGCACATAGCCCTGTTAAATCCACAGGTTTATTTACATGCACCCCCAGTTTTGTGTGTACAAACCCCTTGCCAAGCTGAGGGCTGGTGAGCAAAGCCTTTATTCCCTTCTCTTTATTTCACTGCTGAAGCAAATGAGTGATTTTCTCACCTCTCTCTGGGCTTCCTTTCTTAGGAAAATTTGTTCAGTGGTATTTTTCTTTAGGTTCTGGATGTGTTTCTGGAATGACAGTGAGTTCCCCACCCTCCTCTGTGGCAGTGCTGCCTGAGCCTCTCTCCAAGCAGCTGATGGAGGATTTGGAGAGAGCTTGGCTGCAATTCACCACCTTCAGTTCCTTCCCAGTGACAGCACCAAGTTTTACTTGGGTTTCTACCCAGAACACAGATAAATCTGCAGCCAATAATGTTGAATTTGGGCACACAGACTCTAAAAACACTGTGCACATAAGGCCTTTAAAAATTGACTTTATTCAGTTGGGAAATATCACCCCCTGCCCTGTCCTGCCTTTAGTAACTGTTGTTATGTTCCAGGATTCACATTTTATATCTGGAGGCCACTGGTGATTTGTTTTTGGGGTTTTTTTTATTATTTATACAAACAACTCTTGTTTTTATATTTTCTAAAGAAGGAAAAGAGGAACTTTTAAACATTGTATTCCCATGTTTGCAGGTGTGTATTATGGTACTTGAAAGGAAACAATTTCCACATATATATATATATATGGTTGATGGAGACCCTTCAGGGGTCATGATGTACAATGAGAAACTCCCAAACAGTTTGTCAAGGCACGACTTTAGTCAGAAACTTAAGCCTGAGCCTGAAAATAATCATCTGGTTTTTTACTTTTGGTGAGACCATACAGTCAACAAAAGCTGGGCTGAACCACAGTGACTTTGTGCGTGTTTTTACCAAAATATCACCCACTTGGGACTAAGACCCTGTAGCAGCATAAACTAATAGCTTATATTCAGTAGCTGCATTAGTAAAAAATGAGAGAAGATATTAAATGGAAACTATTTGGAGTACACCAGGAAGTCCCAGGAAAGCAGGGGAACAGACAGGTTTGGTGCGGCTTTTCCAGGGCTCCTGTAACTGAGGAGTTTCCAGGTCCCCATTGATCATTCCTCTTCACACCATGTGTATAAAATAGCAATTGGAGGCTTCAGGAGTGTCATGTCTGCATGATGAGTCCATCAATTTTCCTTGGCTGCAGGTTTCCCTTCGGTGGCTGGGAAGTAAATGATGAGAAGCTGAAGGAGAAAGCCGTAAATTACTGGGCTCTGCCAACTCCAATATCCGCAGCCTGACGGCTCCTGGGTTTGACAACAATCTGCTTGTCAGTCTCTCTTGCAAAATATTAACATGCTCAATTATCAGAGGTGTTAGTCAACTGTTAAATCTGAGGATTGAGCAGTCCAAAGGCCAGGGATGGGCAGGCCCATCTTCCCTTCCTGCTGCAAAGCCTCTGCTAAGGCTCAGGAGCTGCTCCTTCTCTGCCTGTGGTAAGAGTTTCTTCAGGGTTAACAGTATTTTTTGGGAAATTCCGTCTCCTTCTATGAGAAGAATGGAAAGCAGGGCACAAGTGTTGTTGCTGGATTCCCCTGGGTGCAGCCTGAGCTTCTGGTCGTGGGAATGGGCTGTGCCCAGTGCTCCCCAAATTGGTCTCTTTGAGCAGGCAGAAAACAAATCCTGTACTTTAACAAAGCCCCCAAGTCTGGGAGGAAAAGCCAGATCACCTTCACTGAAGAGCATTTTAATAGCTAGTAACTCAGGTGTCTCCTAATAGACAGCCCAAAAACTCATCTTCCTCTGAAAGACCCTTTGGGAAAACCATCCCATTTGAGCTTGATTTTCTCTGTCTTCCTATGCTTTTTCCCATCAGATCTGTGACCTGGTGCTGGGATTTGGACCTGTTGCCTCCATCAGACAGGGAACAGTCTCTAAAGTTGAAGAGAAATTCCCAATGCAGTAAAGGTAGGTTGTTCATTCTCCCACCTCACCCCAAAAATATGAATTTTAAGATCATTTTATTGGCAATAATGGAGGGAATCCATTTAATTTAAGTTACAAGGCCTCTCAAAAATTCCTATGAATTCCTGTGGCTATAATAAGTCCTCCTGTAATAACATCTCTGGTTAAATAAGCACTGACCACTGGTTTAGAAAGCTCTGAGGCACCTCCCATCCACTCATGTTGGCAAGTTTTTTATAGAGGAGGCATTGATCAATTATTACATTTAATTGTTTGTGTGGAATTTAAAAAGAAAGGTGTATTTTTAAGCTCACTACTTTGCCTCAGGCAATGATGATGAGCATTAGTCCATCTCCTCATGCTGTAAATTAGGATGGGCTTCTGCAGATAAGGGTGTTGTGCTAAATATTAGAAACAGTCACCTGGAAACAAATAAAAGGGTGAGCAATAAGCACATGCAAATTTATCCCCCATTTCAAACGTGCTAGTAAATGCTGACTTTCATAGAGGGAATGTGGTGCAGGAGGAGGATGTTGGGCTTTGCAATTACAGTCCCAATCCATTCTCCAAAGATTAAAGTTTTACACAGTGGTTGTTCTGGGGAAATTCGCTGAATCCTAATATTTAAGATGAAAGCATAATGAAGGATGATTTTTTTTTTTTTTTAAAGAATTGTCTGATAGGCTTGATTTGCTGGTTCTCACTGAAGCAAAACTTCCCTCTGACTTCAATTATCAGTAAATTATGTTGACCTCAATAAGGGTTTTTGCAGAACTGGACCTGTAGCATGAATAGGCTGTTCTGTGCAAAAAAAAGTGACTGCATGGAAATGGCATCTTCTTACTCATCAGTTCTGCCTCCCGAGGGCATACGAGCTGCTGCCTCTGCCTTTAATGACAAAAATGAGCTTTTGCTGCTCTTTCCTCCTATGAGACCTTCAGAGCTGCTGGGACTGGGCTGAGAATTTGTGCAACAACGTGAGAGTCTGGGTGAGAACCACCCTGTAGGGCAGTGGTGTCCCCCTGGTGCTCCACACCCACAGGGGTGTGAGTCCCAAGGTTGTCCCCAAAAAGGCTGTGAGCCCCAAGGTTGTCCCCAAACCCCTTTCCCCCCCATCACAGTAAATCAACCATCATTTTCCCAGTGGGCTACTCCAGACTGAGAGCTTTAAACTCTCTCTGTTTGACATCCTCCTGATTTATTGCATTTGTAAAGGTGACCTTAAATATTTTAATGGTAATAATTCTTTCAAGGGCTTGAATCAGTAAATGTGCTGTGTTCATATTTTGGCATTATATACTGGAGGCAATTTAATCCATATAAGCAGTTTCAGTGATATTAACACTGTAGGCAAACTGATACTAAAGTTTAAATGTCAGAGAGAGTTTTCATATTACATCTAGTGCAAACAAAGCATTTTTTCTCCAACTACTGACGCATAAAATACCAGGAGATAGTAAAGACAGAGAGTGCCAATGAATCTGAAATAAACAGGAGGTGAAATTTATAGTATTTTCAAATATGTGCCCTATCCAAGGACTGCTGCAGCTGCACAGATCTATAAAATTAGAGATAAGAGGAAAACCTTGTAGTGCTCCACAATAAATGCACCTCCACCAGGGTATCTATCTGGATTTCTGTAACTCCTTGGAGATTTACTGTTTCCCCTTGGATTTATTACCCACTGTGCATACCATGGATGGTATCTTACATTCCCTCCATTGGCCTGTTCATTATTTAATGACAGGTCCCAGTTATAATCCCTGTGCAGGGAGGTGCCATCACGTGGCCACCCCCTCGTAGGAGCAGAGAAGCTCTGGGAGGATCCCACCAATATTTATCCAGGGATGCTCTGGGAGCTGTGGATTCAGGCAGGTTTCCATCCTCTGGCCCCAAAGCTCTGGGTGGCTTCTCACACTCCGTGGCCGGCCGAGACTTTGCCTTATTGGGGAAAAAAAAGCAAGGATTGGGTAAAAGGATGAGTCTTTTATGGTTTCCAGCCTGCAGTGTTGGATAAATGATGGGATGATGATGGACTGGGTGGGATAAATGATGCTTGAGGCTCTCCAGAGCCACTGGTCCTGGGAAGGTGCACCTGAGCCCACCAGGAGCTCAGTGGCACCAGCTCATAAAACCTGTGCCACATGGTCAGAAGGTTTATTGTCCATGTGCTGCTACTGCAACCCCATAAAGCACCAGGGATAATGTGTGTGGAAACATGGGCTGCTTGATTGGGTGTTTTCCTGTTAAGTAACCTGAGCTGCTCTGAAATGTCCTGCTGGCATCACTGGGCAAGAAAAGGGGCAGTTGTAGGGAGCAACTCACTAAAAATAAATAAAGCCACCCATGAGTGACATGTAGGAAGTCACAGGAGGAGGAAGCACAGGTGCTGTCACGGGGGAAGGGAATGAGCACCGAGAAACAAAATTTATGAGCTAATGATGCTCCTTTTTCTAAGGATTTTTTTCCTTGTTTTAAACCCTCTGAAGCTGTGGTGACCGTGGCTCCTGGGTATGCCCATCACTGTCACTTAGGTACATGGGATGGGGTAGTGGAATTGGCAGTGCCCCTTTATCCCAAGGAATTCTGGAGGTGCCTCAGACAATTTTAGACAAATCCTGCTCCTGGGGTGGTAAAAAAGGTCTTCAGCCTTCATCCTTCCCCAACTCCCAGAGCTCCCAAACTAAGCCCTGCTAGACCTTGATGAGATGTCCCAGACCAAACCAAGAAGAGCTCAAGACCCCATGGGAGGAAGGGACAGCCTCTGTCAGGAGCAGTTTACCTCTAAAACTGAAGAGAAAACGAACGTGCTCAAAAGCTTGTTGTGAATTTCAATCTTCTGCTGAAACAGAGCCAAGATCATTAATTCATATTCAGATCTCTAATCAATATTTCGAGAAAATCAAAGTGTAAAGCTCTACCTGTATAATGGTGTTTCTGTCTTCATCCTGATTGCACTTAATTTCATCAGGGTCACACTGAAGAGCTCAGCCTTGTTTAATTCTAAACTCCAATGACAGTCAGAGGAACGTTTTTAGCTGTGGCTCTGCAGGATTTTTTTTTTAGTCAAAAGCAATTAAAAGGCTTTCTTTGGCCTCCTTAATTTGGCAAACTAAATAAGGTGTTCTCGTGGCTTGTTTCTCCACAGAAGATTCTATCACCGTGTTTAAAACCATTTATGGAATGACTTGTGAGAACTGCTGCCACCTCGATAGATGATACACCAATAAATTAAAGGCACATAAAATGATGGATTCTGATAGAATTAAGAGGATATAAATTAATTGGAGACTTTATTGCTGTTTCTGTTTTGAACAGGGTACTATGGCAGTACATTCTGGCAACAGGCTGGAAAGGTAAATTAATCTTTATGCATCATCATCAAGCAGGGTAAACATGGCCAAACTTAATTAGGACATAATAGGTTGGTAAGTGTCTGCCCCTCAGAGGTGAGATTGCTCTCTGGCAGGTGATCACAGCCCAGAGGACTATCAGGCAAGGTCTTCTTTCAAAGACTGGTAGTATCTCTGCAAGCCTCTGACAACAAATCCTATGGAAAAACCACCCCAGAGGCAGCTTTCCACAGTCCCAGGGACAAACAGAAATGAAACATGGCCTGAGATTGCACTACTTTGGCAGTAGCAGCTCTTGTTTTACTGCAAAACCAGAATAGGAGTCATTCAAACCTCCAGCTGGGAGCAGGCTGGAGGTGCTGGGCACCCCCAGTTCATCTTCCCACACCTATGGGCACCCTTGGGTGGGCTGGGAGGGAAACCCATGGAGAGGGGAACTGGGCTGAAGTACTCGTGTAAAAAGAGCAAAACTCTTACTTGGCATATTGTCCTTGAGAAATTATAGCACATGAAGGAGAGAAATGCAATACAGCATCTCTTTTCCCCTTCTATTTCTGATACTAGTTTTTGTCATTAGCAGCTCCATTCCTGTGGGTTTATCAACCCATTGAAACCTTATCTCTCTTTTCATGGCAGCATTTGGACTTACACTTACCTATACAAGCATATATTTATCCTTACTAGACATGATCTTGCTTCTTTAACGGCCAAAGTTCACTAAAGGAACACAAGACAATAATTTCTATTTTAAAAACAGCTGCAAAATGTAGTTCAGGAATCTCTTAGGTTATGGGGGGGGGGGGGGGGGTTTGGTTGTGAGAAATTTTGGGGAACTGATTCTGAGAAGAAAATGTGTTTTATTGAATAGTTTCAGTCAGTCTAGATTTGATGTCTGGGCAGAAGAAAATTCAGGCCAGAAAGTAACTTTTAGTTTTGGGGCAGTTTTAGTTTAGTCTGCTTTAAAACTCATATTGCAGTGTATGTTTGGTGTCAACACCACGACAGTGACACGGGTATGAACTGGTCAGATGTGGAGTGGCAGATCTTTTTCACACTGTCAGGCACCCAAGGGTGTCTTAATAACTGGCAATCAAACAGCAGCATGATCTTGAAACCCTTGCTACTTCAAGGCACTTTTTGGAGTTCAACATACTTGTCTTTATTTCCTGATAATTGTGCTCAGAGTTTGCTGCTGCTCGATTGCCTCAGGAATTAGGATATGCTTTGAGAGCAGGGGGAGGACTCCCCTGCCAGCACAACTCTGCAGAGCAGAAAACATCTCTCATTATGGAAATTATCATAGATGTTGTATGAAAGGGGGGGGGGGAATCATTCTAGAGCCATGGTAAAAGTCCACTGCAGAGCCCCAAGGAGGCCACTTGAACCCACCTTGATAATCAGAATAAAACAGAAGGAAATACACCAAATGTTAAGTTCCAAACTTTATTTGGTCACTAGCATCGTTGCAGAGGGGTTCTGTGTGCTTTAATTTCTATTTCAATTTTTCAGTTCACTTTTTAATTCCCTCTTTGCTCATTTATTACATGGTTTCCTCATTGTTTCCACCACCTAAAACTAAACCAGTTTAATCCACCTATACCTCAAAGTCAGATTCCATCCCTGCATCTTGCTTTTGCATTTCCACTCTTTGATAATAGCTTTTGCTACCAGCCCAGTTTAAATTCTTAATTTTGTCTAATTCCTCTAAATGCACAATGATTCTTCAACTGGAAAGGAAAGAGAGGAGCTCGGAATGATCCATATGTTGAAGTACTGTATTTTCATCATTTAAATGATGAACTTCCCATCAAATATCCACAAATGTACATTCATGACTCCCATCCAATGATCTATTGGCCAGAGGCACATACATTCTTTTAATTTATTTTGGAGGAAAGGTGCTTTCCTGCCGAGTTTGGATAAGCTTTCTCTGTACCAAACAGATGTTCAATAAAAGAGACTTTACTGAATATGACATATAAACACAGGGAAAGAGAAGGAAGGAAGGAAGGAAGGAAAACTACAGGCTGTGTGGATTCCTGGTTCATCAAACAACAGGCCACAGTTTTAATCAGGACCCTGATGTCTTGGAAGAAGGTAATGTTGGCACTTTGCTTGTGGTGGAATTCGCTTTGGTGAACCCACTGAGAGATCACAAAGTCTCCCAGTCCTCTGATGGATGTAAACAGTTCCTCCCATCACGGAAAACACACCTGGAAAATTTTAATTGCGTGGTCTGGGAGAATTACAGGGGTTGGTTTGGAGGTGGCACGTGAGGGTTTCTTCCCCACCACCCAGTTTTGCTTTAGGAAGAAAAAAGGGTTTCTTTAAACACCCAAGTCTTGCATCTATTCAGGCTCTTCCTATTTGGAGAGAGGTGCTATTTAAGGAGGCATTGAGGAGCACAAAGCCAGCCTGATTCATCGGGAGATCAAAGAGGGAATGCTGCCTTTGAGATAAAGATGGCTCTGCTTTGAAAGGCTTCTCCTTTGTTCAGGAGCTGCCACGGGATGTCCACCCACCCTGAGTGGGAACCTCCTCCTGAGGGACACACAGGGGGAAAAAAGCACCTCCTCTGCCTGCTCCAGGTGAGCTGAACCTCGGGGGCGAAGTGGAAATTTTGGATGTTTCCATCAAAGTGAGACTTCGTACCCGACCTTCTCCAGACCTTCCCAGCTTCCCGGCCAGATCCCAGCAGGGCAGCACTACGGGGTCCACGATGTGCTCCCACCTCTTGGCACGTAATCACACTCAAAGCTGCATCTTTTCAATTTTAAGACCCCACTGAAAACCTTCTTATTTGCAAGATGTGAATCCCAATGGTGATTTTCTAAGGAAGGCGAATTAACATTTTCCACCCACTGTGCTTGCCCAGGGACAACTCCTCACCAGTTTTTCCTCACTCTGCCTTCCAGTGCTGATGTGTCAACGTGGGGGAAACCTGGAGTATTTCAATACTTCTGGGATCATTTTGGTAAAATCTGATGATATTGAAGGCAATGGGGAAGCAATAATGTCCCTGTCATAATAAATTATTTTATATCCCAGTCCTCAGTGTGAGCCACTGACCACTCAGAACCAAGTGTGAATAAACAGGAATCTCCAGTATGACCCTGTGTAGATTTACTGAATTGTTACTACGTGTAAGTACAAGCAGGAGCACCAACTCTCCAATGCCAGCTGATGAATTCAAACATGAACCGAAGTTTTAAAAACACTGAAGCTTGGGCAGTGTTTTTAACAAGATGGATTGGCAGTTTTAATAATTCCCAGATCCCAAACACATATGAAAAGAGCCCTTGATGAGAAAGGTCTGATTACAAATAACCTGCAGAGAGATGAAAGTTCGTTTTTAATATCTGTTTTTTTAAGTCTGCTTTAGACTTTCAAGAGGCTTCAAAAGAAGGCAAAGACTAGAAAACAGTTTGATTTAATACTGTTAGATGTGTGAAATAAAATACTGGACAATAAGAGATGTAAAATAAGCAACAAGTGCAAGTGACTTAAATCAAATTAAAGAGCTAATTGAAAATAATGGAATTAAAACCTTTTTTAGTTGTTTTTATTCATCTGTTTTTCAGCACTGTTTGCAACAGCATTTTTTTTTTTTATCTTCTTTACTTTGAAGAACAAACTTTCTCTGCCATGAAAGACAATGATTTTAATCAGGATCTGAAATGTCATTCCATGGGCTGGAGGTGGTAAATGCCAGGCAGGAAGAGAAGCACCATCAACACAAACCAGCAGGGCAACCACAGAGCTGTGTGGCCTTTGTCTGTGGAGCTTTCTGATACAACGCCATGATACTGAGGTGCTTTAGCTCCCTTTATACTGATCCTCAGCAACACATCTTTGCTTTCATTCTCTGTATAAAGGAGTTCTCTTTTTCTCTGCTGTGGCACACTCACAGCTCCCACTGAGCCAGTCTCTGACTCCAGGGAGTAGCCACGAGGTATCCACTGGTATCACGTTGTTCTGAGGACAGTTTTTGTCTAGATCACCCAACATGGAGCCAGCTTTTTGTTTTGTTTCATTTTTTAAATGGACTTCAGGGCGTGTTTAAGCAACTGAAGAGAAATGGGCTTGGAGTTGGATTACTTAGGTGGGGTTTTTTACCTGATGTCAAAGGAGTGACTCCTCTGCAGTGGGATTGGTGTGACTGCAGACCTGCCTGTGCTCCAGGGTGTTCCTGGTGTGTGGGAGACCAGGTGTCCCAGCAGAAACATGAGTGTCCCTATGGCTCTTCACTGTCCCACTTCTGTCCCCCTGCCCAGTGCCATTGCAGTGCCAGGTTTTCTCCTGGCTCTCCTCTGTCCATTCCCAAGCCTTGTCCTCGTCCTCCAGCTGGTTTTGAGCTCCAGGGCAGGGATGGCTCAGCATTTGCCCACAGGGGTTGTGAATGCCAGAAGCCTTCAGGGCTCAGAAAAATCCTTTTGAGTAGAATTGATGATTTAAAGGGTCTTGGCCAAATGAAAGGATAATTCTCTGACTGCAAAGTGCACCTGCAGCGGGATGTTACCTACAGACCTTGGATGAGGCTTGGCTTCGCAGGGTAAAATTCAACCTGAGCCCACCAACCTGTTAAAAGCATTTTGTACAGAAAATTCCAGCATAAATCCCTGTCATCAGTGGTCAGAAAGTTCCCTCCTTTTTTTTTGACTGGAAGCTCCCAGAAATAACTTCCCTACGGGCTTCAAAGATGGGCAGCATGGCGGGTTCAGTTGCTTTAGAGGTTATTTTTGCTTTATTCCATCCTGCACACAAGCAAACCAGGCTGGGAGCAACCTGGTCTAGTGGAAGGTGTCCCTGGTCATGGCAGGAGGTGGAATGAGATGATATTTAAGGTCCCTTCCAACCCAAACCACTGCAGGATTCTGTGATTAACTGTGCTGCCTTTCTCATGGGCAGCTTAATTTTAAGTCTTCCAGAAGAACAAGGGAAAAACCAACTGAGACAACATGAGGACAATTCCTCTGCTTGTGGGAATGGTATTTTTAAATGGAATTATTCCCTCTATGTGCTGCTGTGCTGCCTCCTCAGTAGAGGGAGAGGAGAAGTGGGTGTGCTCAGTCCTGAGCTCTCATGATACGTGTAAAGAAATCACTCCTGGTGCTAAAAACCAAACTGACACTGCCCCTCAAGTTTGGTGAAATATCCAATCAGTCTCAGTGAGCTTTTGAGGGAAAAAGAATAAATAAAATAACACACACACACAAAAAAAAAAAAGGGGGGGAAAAAAAGAAGAGAGAAAACCCACCAACCCCAGTGTGTTCCCATAATGAAGGGTCTAAAAATGCCCCACTCATTGATGCAAAATTACAGTTATTGTTTATCCTCCTTCTACTTCACACAGCTTTATACAATACACACCACGAAAATACAAGCAAACAACCGACACATTAGTTAAGAGACCTTCCATTTTACTTTGGCAGTTCACGATAATGGAATTTAATTGTGGAAAAAGCTGAATAATTTTAGCTGAATGTCATTTGGTTCATTCAAACTGGGAATCAGGGACATTTTTAACAAAGGTTTTCAAACTTCTTTTGAAATCAGGAAGCTGCTGTGCACAGATAAGGGGAGAGGTTTGAGGATTCTCTATCAGAAATTTCAAGGTTTTTTCCATCTGCTTTTTCACATTAACTGGTAATTATCCAGAAAGGCACATAATAGTGCAGAAATGACAGAAGCTGACAAAGGTTTTCCTAAGATATGTAAATTGTCAGTGATAGGCAAGGTGCAACAGAAAGCCTTTCTACAGCACAATTATTTATGCCAGTTCCATTTGCTTTTAGGTAGCGCTGATGGTTCTCCGGCACCGCCGCCTTTATCACGGGCCCTGCACGTTCCTCACCACCAGCACGCAGGGAAGTGGCAAAATCCGGGCTTGGAGCTTGGTGGTCTCTTCCAACACCTCTATTTTCCATTAAATGCACACACGGGGGCCTGTGGAGACATTTCTGAGGAGCCTCGTGTTTGTTATAACCTCCCCCTGCTTAAGTAAATAGGTGGGATCTTTCCCACTGGAACGGCTTCCATGTATTAGTTCTGGGTGGTTTAGGAGTCCACCTTCCCCACAGCAGTGCTATTTGAGGGAGGAGGTGTTATAACACTCTGAGGTTCATTAGCCCTCTCTGCTAATTGCCTAATTTCAGCAAAGAGGTGAACCCGTTGAAGATGCTCAGACAAATTCCCTTCCCCCAGCTCTCACTGCCCAGTGTGTCTCTTCCTGGGGGTGGGAATGGTGGGTGCTGGGACAACCACTCCATCTGCTTTTAAAAACTCAGTCTGGGAACACAGAGCCATGGAATAGTTTGAGTTGGAAGGGACTTTTTAAAGGTCATCTTGTCCAACTCCCCTGCAATGGGCAGGGATGGCCAAATTGGGGTATTCTTACTTTACATTCCTTGAGGGAGAGAAGATCCTCTCTCCCTAAATTGCCCAGGCAATTTTAGGAATTATTACCCATAGGAGTGCATGACATGTCCCTGCAGGGCACCAGGGTGGGCTCCAGGTCTTGAACAGGGTTTTACACAGGTATTTTCAGTCTCTGCTGTACAGGCAGGCAGATTGAGGTTGATAAATGCCTCCTTTCTATAGGAGAGGTCGGGTTGGCCTTCTGAGTCCTTCTGGAAAGTTAATTCATGTTTAAGTAAAGAGAGAGGGGCTGTGCAAGGGAGAAATTCCTGCCTGACCTCCCCCTCCCCCCCCCCCCCCCAATTCAGCTCATACAGGAATCACAGGTTTTAATTAACCTTTTCTGAGAATAGGACTTCATATGTAACTACATATGTAATGAGAGGTTACAAGATCTTTAATGGATGGAAGGACTTTACCTATCAGTCCCTGATGGAGTGGCACCAGAGGTATTATGGTGGGATAATTACTTTCCATCCCCACGTGAGTGATGTTAAGTTGCCCTGATGGGAGGTGTTTCCATGTGTGTCTGGGGGGGTGGAATTAATTTCCTTTATGGTAATATTAACTTAATGGGTGCTGAGAGAAAGTAAACAAGATGCAACACAGCAGAGTTATAGAGAAAAAAAAAAACAAGATTGCATTTGAAAGTCAATGGGCTTTGCTGTTTTCTGTAAGGACCTTGTGTTCTATCTGGAGCTTTGTCTTCCCAAATCAGGGAGGTCAAACCCCTGTGAAAGGCTTTGGGGTGGATGGAGGGGAAGGATTTGCCCCACCAGATCCATTGAGGCTGCAGTTGCTGCCTGAGGAGGGTCTGTCCGTGCAGGAACCAGTCGGGGGGGGGGGGGGTCACTTGTTTTCTTGATTTTATTTCATTTTTTTAAGATAGATTTTCTTTTGGGTGCCTTTACACCATAAAGAATCAACAAAGACTTTCAAGAACTGCTTTACTTGGTCAGAGTTTAACCTCATCAGGAGGTGAAGCTCAGGGGCTTTGGGTGGAACATCCCAACAGCTGATTTATGGAATCTTCAGCCCAAAAATGGCTCCTGTGCTTGTGTCCCTTTTGTCCCCATTCCTGTAAACT